GCTGTGTGAAATTGGGTAAGTCATTTGGCTTTTCTGTGTTTCACTTTCCTCAGCTATAAAATGTGTAAAATAAAAACACCTACCTCCAACAGTTTGGGGGAGAATGAAATGAGAAAAATGTACATAAAATATTCAGTACCTGGCAAACACTGAGTAGATGGTAAATGGAAATAAAACACAAGCTCATCTTCTTAATCAAGCCCTTCTTTGGAGATCCTCTGGTTTTGAATGACGGGGTTCCATTTCCATACTATAGTCTGAACGGTTGGCAAATGGTGGTCAAGCGCAGCTACCAGGTTAGACGGAACTCAAAGCTCGTTGGAGTAAGGGGAATGGGGAAATGCAGCTAATGTTTCCAGAAAAACCTGAATTTTTGCCAGAAGCAAAATTCCCACAACATAAAATTTTAAGCAAGTTCCCAAATATCTAGTGCAGACATAAGAGCATAAATGAATTCGTCAATGAAATGATTTATCCTGGCAAACTTCCCTGAGTGAAAGCAAGTACAGTCTCCATAAAAAGGAGAGAGAGATGAAATAAAGAAAACTGCTACTCTGCAAATCAAAAGTAATTAATTTTCTGAATGGAGACTAGTTATTATTTGGGGAGAAAAAGCATGAATATTTTCTATTCCTGGTTACGATTTGTTTTCAGAGAATAAATAGACCAAGCTGAGAGTCACAACATTTTGGATTCTACTGCTTCCATACTCAGGATAAATTAGGCAATTCATTCTTGCAAAGGAATTGGGTATAATTTGTAGTTAATGTGTTCCTTAAAGCCATAAGATATGACCTAAAAGTTCAGAATCTGATCCATTACGTATTTCACAATAATGTTTAAACTCTTGAATTTAGTGTTCCTTGCAAAGCTGTAACTCACTTCATTCAAAGATCCTGAATTCTCATTAGTTGAGAGAAACTGTTCCTTAGAAGCTCTTAAAACACCTATCTCTCCTCTATGACTCATAATTAAGCCTCCTTACAGGAAAGCCACTGCAGTTTGTCCTATTACCTGTTCAATGGGTCAAGAATAAATAATGACAGAGTTGTGATGCCATTATAGTAGTTCTCCACCTAGTAGAAAACCTCTTAATTATTCTAGAGAAGGTCCAGATTCACTTAGGGAATTATCCTGGAGTCATCTTCAATTTCTGCCTCTCTGATTAAGCATCTCCTTCAGCTGAGTAACATTCAGTGTTGTCTAACTCATGTAATTTTTAAAAATATTATTAAGTTGGGTATCAGAAATCAAGTCCACCGTAAAAACTTGTTAATAATCCAGAAACTATGCTAACATTTAAATGTCAAACTAGCTCAGTGGTTGTCAAAGTATGGACTTGGACCAATAACATCACCATATCCTAGGAATTTGTTAGAAAATGAGATTCTCAGGCCCCCACCCCCAGACCTACTGAATCAGAAGCTGTTTGGAGTGGGCTCCTAAATCCGTGTTTTAATAAGTTCTCCTGGTGATTCTGATGCTTACTTAAGTGTGAGAACCATGATCTAGCTAGTTCTGGCAAAGAGTGTTGAGGCCACAGGCCAATCTTGATAGAATTACCTAAATAGATGAACCCACAAATATATTTAATCCCCACCCACAAAAAAACCCCCCAAGTTTGTTCCTCTATAGTCTCCAGTTTCCCCAGTATTAATTTGGAAAGAAAGGATTTGTTTCAGTACAAATAATTTAGTGATACTATTTTTCTGTTTGGAGAGTTATTTGAAAGAAACAATTGGTCTACATGTCCAGTTCAAAACATCAGGACATTTTAGGGATGCCTGGGTGGCTCAGTCGGTTAAGCCTCTGCCTTCGGCTCAGGTCATGATCCCAGGGTCCTGGCATCCAGTCCCACATCCGACTCCTTGCTCAGCGGGGAGCCTACTTCACGCTCTGCCTGCCCCTCCCCCTGCTTGCGTGCGCTCTCTCGCGCGCTCTCTCTCTCCCTCTCTGACAAATACATAAAATCTTTTAAAAAAAAATCAGGGCATTTTAAACAGAAAGTGGTAAAGTCCTTAGTTGCTAACTCATTCTTAATTGTTAACAACGAACACCTTAGTGAATGTTACAACTTGTTCTAGGATAATAGTAAGAATGGCAGCCTCACATTCATTCAAACTGTATTGGAGCGGTCATCCTACACAGCACCTCTCAGTTGATAGACTTTCCTGAGCATTTATTACCTGTGCCAGGGCACATCATTGGCTCCAAGGACACTGAAGATGAGCAATAAATATATCTACAAATACTACAGTAGTTGTTGAGGGAAAAATAATTGAAATGGAGGCTGCATATTTTATTTGCAGATAATATGCTTCAGTGTTTCAAAACATATTACCCTGAAAGCAAGATATTCATCTGATTTGAGGTTGACAAGGTCCATAGGTCAACATGTGGGCAACAATGTAAGAGGTCAACTTTGTTAAAATGGAAAGGGATACAAAAGTTGTCACCTGTCACACACACACACACACACAAAGCACATTTTGAGTTCTAATACAGGCTTACATTCAATATCATTACATAAACTTATAATACTCTTAAACAATTAATTTAATTCTTTACAGTTAAATTTTTAAAAATTTTTTATTGTTATGTTAATCACCATACAATACATCATTAGTTTTAGATGTAGTGTTCCATGATTCATTGTTTGTACATAACACCCAGTGCTCCATGCAGAATGTGTCCTCTTTAATACCCATCACCACGCTAACCCATCCTCCTACCCCCCTCCCCTCTAGAACCCTCAGTTTGTTTTTCAGAGTCCATCGTCTCTCATGGTTCGTCTCCCCCTCTGATTCTTTACAGTTAAATTTTACATCATCAAAGCATTAAAGAAAACATCCAACAAATCAAAATCTGTATAACCAAAAATAATAGGTTATAAATAATGCTTTATAGAGATAAGCCTTTGCAAACCACGGAATACTGGAATGGAATATCATTCAGCCACAAAAAGGAATGAAGTACTGATACAGGTTACAACACGGATGAATTCTGAAAACATTATGCTAAGTGAACGAAGTCAGATACCAAAGGCCACATATTGTATGATTCTATTTCTATGAAATGCTCAATAGGCCAATCTACAAAAAGAGAAAGTAGCTTAGCGATTGCCAGGGCTAGGGTCAGAGAGAATAAGGGATGACTGTTACTAGTTTTTTTGCGGGTGATTAAAATGCTCTGTAATTAGATAGTGGGTGATGGTTGTACAACTTTGTCAGTATATTAAAACCCACTGAATTGTACACTTGAAAACGAACTGTGTGCTATGCAAATTATAACTCAATTTTTAAAAATTCACAATATATTCAAAGCACTGGTTTTGATGGCATACAAAGCAATATTCTCTGGTTTATCTCTGTACTACAGTGAGATTTATTTTTTACTTACTTATTTTTTAAAGATTTTATTTATTTGACAGAGCGAGACACAGCAGGAGAGGGAACACAAGCGGGGGAGTGGGAGAGGGAGAAGCAGGTTTCCTGCCTGAGCAGGGAGCCCGATATGGGGCTCGATCCCAGGACCCTGGGACCATGACCTGAACCGAAGGCAGATGCTTAACAACTGAACCACCCAGGCACCCCATACAATGAGATTTATTTTAAATAATAATCTAAGTACCAAAAGGATCTGGCTTTCTTGTTAAAGCAGATCTGTAATAGAAATGCAAATTCAACAGGTGTGTATTTGATGAGCACAGCACTTTCAAAAAATTTCTTCCCCACCCCCCCTCCAGATTCAACTCTGTGGTTTTAGAGAAAACCAGGACCAGATTCTCCTGCTAGTCTTAAATGTCAACCTTGTGTATCACATCACCCCCAGAGTATTTTTGTAAAGCTTTCAGAATTTAAATTATGTCCATTATCTGGGGGCTGTTGGCAATTATCACCATATTTGAAATGTAACTCTCATTAGTTAGAACAAGAAATGATTTCTCCTTGTAAAGGTTACTGTGCCAAGAGCAGCACCATCTATATTGAATAAAAATGTAGGTTAATATCTACAATGAATAATCTAAAATTTAAAAAAATTGGGATCCTCGAACTGAAAAGAGTAAAATATGTGTATTCACAGTTGAAGTACATCTTCTAACTTTCAGGTTAATACCTCCAAACCTACTATAGTCCATCGTAATAGAAAATCTTCATGAAGGAAAAAAGATTTTTTTTAAAATGAAATATAAAAATCCAATATTACAATTCATCTGGAAAATGACTGGAACACTGGAATCTGCATCCCAGGTAAATAATTCTAACTGGCTGTTTCAAAGTGGAATTTCAGTAGTGAATGTGAAACCTGGAAAGTGGTGGATGAAAGATGATCCATGAATAAATACATCAACCTGCAGCTTCCCTGTGACTTTGGCAGCAGTTGGCAGAACGTTGATAGAAATTTTGATTGAAACTTTTTTTTTTTTTAACGAAACTGCCCAGACTTGAATGTGACTAAATTAAAAGTACTGGAAAACACTGAAAAGTCAGGTTGGTGCTTGTTCCTGTTACTACCTTTTGGGAGTGTGTGTGTGTGTGTGTGTGTGTGTGTGTGTGTGTGTAACTCGCATCGGGCACGTGTATTTTTCATTTAAGCCCATAATGAATCTAAAAGCAAAAACACTATCTAATACGTAGCCCCGCACCTTGGTTGTATTTCTCTTCTTATGTGTACCTAAAAGGCTCTTTTCACACTTTGCGAAACAGGAGACACAAGAGCTGTGTGGACAGCAACCGAGAATGGCAAGCCTCTCCCTTCTGGCCGAGCTCCCCGCGGGCGGATGGAAGGTGGTGGAGGTGCGAGGTGGGTAGGGGGTGCATTCTCCCACGCCGCTGACACCCATCGCGGCGTCGCCAACCTCGTGGGATCCCCAGTCCACCATGCCTTTTCCCTCCTTGCTAGATGGCGGCGGCGGTAGCAAGTACCTAAAGCTCTCAAATCCCCCCACCGTGTCCCAAACGATCCCGGAGATGAAACCCCACTGAGGTCTGATCACTCACCCAGGCGGCAAACACAGAGGAGCTGGATACAAGCGAGGAAGCGCTTTAGGATTAGCATTTCCAGACGGTCCGGGGATCCCCCGCCACGCGGCTGCTCAGCTTCTTGGGGTGGACAGGGAGGGGGCGCGAAGGAAATGTTTTTTCCTCCAGTGTATAGATTGGTGTGAGATTGTGTGAGTGTGTCTGAAAAAGAGAGAGAGCGAGCGAGAGAGCGCCAGCAGAGAGACTGAGAGGGAGACGGGAGTAATCGGAAGCAGGACGCGCGGTGGTCGCGGGAACCGGGAGCCGCTAGCCGAGGCGCATGCCGCGGGCGCGCGGGAGTTGGTCTCCTCTGCGGGCTGCGGCCGAGGTCTGACCGCTCGGAGCGCAGCGGTGCCTGTGTGCCGGGGGCGCGCTCCGGCCCGGGTGTG